CCTCTCCCTCTCCCTCTCCCTCTCCCTCTCCTCTCCCGTCCACCACCAGCCAGGAGCGCCTGGTCAGCGTGTGGACACGTTCCCACTGCCAAATTAAATTCCAAACTTGTAACCAACTTATCTGTTCCTCTCCATTCCATGTTTACTTCCTCTTTTTCCCCATCCTCTTCCTCTTAGTTTTGCTCCATTCTTCTCTGTCTCTCTCTTTCTCTTCCATCTCTCTCTCTCTCTAAGACCTAGAAATATGGTGTGTGTGGGAGGGTGATTTTATTGTTAATATGTTGGAATTGGTTAGTTTATTGAGCACATGGGTTCCAGGCACTGCTCAATAATATATAGATTTGCCTTTGATAGCTAAAGTACGATATATATAATTGTTTCCTCCCCTAGCCCCCTCTATCTCTTATCTCAGAAAATGTACTATTATGAAGAACTAAAAACTTTAAAAGAAACACTCAATATATCGGTCTTGACTCCATGAATATCTCCTGGAGTGGGGATGGTGGGGGGGGGGTGCTGCTCTGTAAATGCTAATATTTCTTATAGCACTTAACCTAGAGCTATGTGGACCGGCCTATGTCCGTCCCGTACCTCAGGCCATTCACCCTGCAAGTGTCTGGCCTCCAACATTCTCTCTTTCACATATAAATAAATAATCATTATTGGCAAAAGAAATCGATGCTGGTGTTGAGATTTGAAGCCGTATTTCTCAACGTTGGCAACCATCTATCTTAAGATAACCATTCTATATCTTAAGGTAACCATTCTATATCTTAAGGTAACCATTCTATATCTTAAGATAACCATTCAACAACTGGAAGTATATTTAAGATTCATGGCTAGAATGTGTTCTTATTCCTTTTATGGTTTTTCAGAAAAGGAAAAACTTATTCTGTACATTAAGAATGTACCAGTGAGTAGAAACGTATTATTAATTCAGACAACTAAAGATGAAAACAAATAGAACTAATAAAGATATTGATATAAATAAATTGCTTTAGTTTGTCTTGAAAAGCTGACAACTCTACCTTGGGTAGTGAGGCAGTTGATTCTTATACTCTTTATACTCTCAATAGGCACTATACGGGCTCGCCATAGCCCGTGCTGCTTAGGACGAGTTGTTCCAAGCAACGAATCTTCAACAACAATAACAATTTATACTGTAATAAATACTGAATCTTTATAATACCGGGAGGAATGACCATTATATATACCTCTTACTCCTTTATTTCCCCAGTAATACACTGGGGAATACAGGTATTACATGTGTCTAGGGGCGAGGCAACCTCCCACCATCTTGTGACGGAACATTTTGTTATATGTCAAGCAAAAGAACACAATTACACAACTGGGATGTGTTATTAACACTTAGAACTGGGAGAAGTGAACATTGCTCTATGTTGAAAAGATTATGACCGTATTTCTTATACAGGAGACAATGAATGAATGTCTTTCTTCAGATAAAGACACACAAGCCATTAGACATTACTTCTTGCTTAAACAAAGCCAACCATATTCATTCGGGATAAGACGGTTTTACGGTGAAGGAATATCAGACAACACTTCCACTTAAGAGGTTGCTTTACCACTTCATATACACACTTATCCACTTATTTCATCGTTCATCTGGCTTTCTTCGTTAACCTATCCTGCAGTTACACGTTACCGGCTTTTTCCTCAAGATCACCTGGCTATTCCAAGCCTCCCAGCTTATCCTCAAAGCCACCTGGCTTTTATTCCTAACATATATATTCCACCAACACACACATGAGCTAAGCCACTGGGGACATCCTTGGATTACGTACAACCAATCCCCAATCCTAACATGTGATTGACACCTTCCTCGATCACTCAGCATTGAATTCTCACATCCAAACTCATCCAAGTGTAGAGATACTGGGGAGTCTGCTACCCACCAGGGTCACATACACCCAGGGGACACCAGCCCTGGTGTAGTCAAGGGTGTACGAAGCAACAGAGAAGCCAGGGACACCAGCTCTGGTGTAGTCAAGGGTGTACGAAGCAACAGAGAAGCCAGGGACACCAGCCCTGGTGTAGTCAAGGGTGTATGAAGCAACAGAGAAGCCAGGGACACCAGCCCTGGTGTAGTCAAGGGTGTATGAAGCAACAGAGAAGCCAGGGACACCAGCCCTGGTGTAGTCAAGGGTGTATGAAGCAACAGAGAAGCCAGGGACACCAGCCCTGGTGTAGTCAATGGTGTATGAAGCAACAGAGAAGCCAGGGACACCAGCCCTGGTGTAGTCAAGGGTGTATGAAGCAACAGAGAAGCCAGGGACACCAGCCCTGGTGTAGTCAAGGGTGTATGAAGCAACAGAGAAGCCAGGGACACCAGCCCTGATGTAGTCAAGGGTGTATGAAGCAACACTGACGCCAGGGACACCAGCCCTGGTGTAGTCAAGGGTGTATGAAGCAACAGAGAAGCCAGGGACACAGCCCTGGTGTAGTCAAGGGTGTATGAAGCACAGAGAAGCCAGGGACACCAGCCCTGGTGTAGTCAAGGGTGTATGAAGCAACAGAGAAGCCAGGGACACCAGCCCTGATGTAGTCAAGGGTGTATGAAGCAACACTGACGCCAGGGACACCAGCCCTGGTGTAGTCAAGGGTGTATGAAGCAACATAGAAAATCATGGACACCAGCCCTGGTGTCCATGCTGCTTCAGTGTAGTTCTGAATTCCTCTCTCCGTCTCTTTGTCCACTTATATGAATTCATAGCCCCAAGTTCGTGTCCTCTCTCATGCAATTCACAAAATAGACGGTACAGCCCTGTATCATTTAGCAAACTGAATTTGAAAATGTTGCA